TTCCGATTTTCTTTTGCAGTATATAAACAAACTGGAATCGATCGGGATCAAAATAAATTCCGATTTAGGGAGGTATCCCTTTTATGCAGGGTTGTCTATTTTATGACGCTTGTGATATATTTCCGTCCTGAAACTAGAAAATTACACGACTTAATTATAATTAACATACAACGTATTTATGGTTATTTATTAGTGAATGGAAATCACCAATAAGTGAATATTAAACTTTCTTTATTGGATACCTTTTGAGTTTCTTTTGCTTCTAAAAGTTTGACCTTTTCATCTAAAGCTAGAATTTTATTTATCAGCCATTGATAAACTGGTTCTGACACAAAACAAAAATACACAATACTTCGCGGCGTAGTGGCTGCTGTCGGACTGCTTGCTGACTCTTTCAACGTAAAGTGAGTAACAGCCTAGATTTCTGTGAATTTCTGATATCCTTGCATGGCCTTGAGCAGTGAGACTCTTGCTGATGCATTCCTTTCATTACGAATATCTCGCATCACTCTACTAATTCATAGGAATTCCGTTTTATAAAGGATTTCCCCCCTGTATGACATGAAAAATCGTTCCATTTCCGCATTGGACAGGTTCCGTTTTATGCCGTATAAAATGCCATTTAACTTCACGGACAGGAGAAATTTTCCGGTTAAGGCAGGTTTCCGGCCCGTACAGGTTCTGGTTATTATATATAAATATAACGAACGCTGGTTTCCACCGTGAGTCTCAGACGCCCACACATTTATACGAGAAGAGAGCACGGTAAAAGCAAGCACGAGCGCAGCGGCAGTCACCGAAGGCGCGGCTTGATATCAGTTGACCGCAACACCGCAGCATACTTCAAGGAGCTGTTGCTTCTTGAGCTGCTGGGGAAAGGACCTGTTTCCACTCCTACAAGGAGAGCGGCTGCATAAATACAGTGGAACGCTGACCACGGGCTTCTTCTTGCATCACCGCTCGAGCAGTTTCTAATTTCAATAGTCACGCGAGTTTAGTATGTAAGACGCTATAGTCGTCGTTGTTAATGTGTGTAAGGAGAAAAAAAAGGTACGAGTTTAATGAGTTGAGACAAACAATGCAAAAACAAATTAGTTCGCTTTATTTCAAAATGTATTTAACGTGAGTTACGTAGGCTGCGGAGTCAAAAGATTATTTGCGCTGAGGAGAACGCCACAACGAACTACCAATTTCATGAGTGGTGGAAAGTGGAAAATGCTGTAGGTACGCCTGAAATATACAAAGAACGAAATAAAATCATTTTCTGTGTGCATGACACTTCTGCACGCGTATGTACACGCTGCCAACGAGAACAAAAGGAAGCACACGTACACGCGACCGGCGCTTCTCAAGAGAGAAGCAGAAGGAAGACGTCGAGGAAGGGGTCGCGAGGTCGCTGAAGGAGAGGCCCCTACGTTCCGCTGGGGCGACGACAGTCGTTCGGACGGACCCACCGCCGGGTTGCCGCGTCCCGCGACGCAAGAACGTGCGACGTAAAAATTACATTTGAGAAACGAGGGATGTTTCTGGATAGTTGCAAGCTGTTTAAGAACGTTAGCCATCAATTAGATTTTGCTATTCAAATGTAGACGCCTTAAGAACTGAGAGATTTTTCTTGTATTGATTATTTAATGTTAGTTTGAAACAGTTAGTGTAAATTTATGATGTGATTTGGTTGTGTGTAGTTCGTGATATGATTCAATATGTTAAATGCAATTTGAATTTATTAGTTTAAATTTTTAAGAGCTCAGAAATGTAACTGTTTTGTTTAATTGAATTTAAATAATTCAAAGCATCTTGTGACGAGAAATCCCAAGTGTAACAATCGTGCACGGAGCTATCGTAAATAAGAAGTGTTATTTCACAAGAATTACGTATTTGAAAGCACATTGCAAGCACGCATTTGAAAGCATTGTGCCTCGAACAAAATGTAAATTTATTTCTTTGATTTTGTATTATAAAGTGTATTCGCAGATTGAGTTTTGAGCCGCGTGATATGTCTCGCCAACCGAAGTCCCCTCAGAATTTACAGATCAGCCGGGCAAGCCCGCAAAGTTTACTTTCTTGCCTTACTACATAAGCAGGAAAGAGAAAGTATTGTAAACGTGCGGCGGAAATCTTATCTTGACACATACGCCATTCTTTTAAGCGATCCTTGTTCTATCCCTGGAATTTTTTTTTGCAAAAACTCCTTTTTTCAATATATATTATATATATATATATTATATATATATATAATATATAATAATATTATATATATATATATGAGCATTTTTAAAAATTTGACTTTGTACAACCGATTTTTGTTTGAAACTATCTCTATATTCATTATTGTACTTTTGCAATATTTTTCAAAATTTGCCTACATTTCTCTCGAAATGTCGCGAAAATTTTCGAAAAATTGTACATGACCTTATTTCAAGACAAGGCTTTAAAGAAAGGATTTCATTAAGAAAAAAATACTCTCCTCAATATTGTAGTTGTAGGAAGACGCCAAAAAATGAACTTTTGCAATTTTCTAAAAATTAGAGATTTTACCGAAAATGAGACCTGCGCCATTATTTTAAGCTATCCAAAGACAAAGATAAATCAAAAAATTTGGGGCCACTTTTGAGAAAATGTTTAAAATGTTAAGGCCACGTGTGTACAGAAGTCCCTAAAACTCAAAATATAGTTTGAAAGTCGCGGAATTGTCGAATTCAGCCCAATCGATTGAGTAATATTATTTTAGGAGAAAATTGTTAAAAAGTTTAGGCACTAGCTTGAGCACAGACAGGCAGAAATATTTTGCCGTCGACAAATGTTTAGGTATCAGACCCACAAAATTAGAATTCTCACATCACAAGTAATTTACAGGACAAAGATTTATCCATAGAAATTTTAAAAATAATACAATTCAAATAATCAAACTGAATAATCACATATTTTAATCCACATATAGTATATTAATAGGTATTAATATAATCCATAAAACTGTGTCAATTAATCCATGATGAAAAGATGCGTCATGAATCATGGATTAACTACCTAAATTATGTAAACCACGATTACTTTGCTCATCCCTAGTTTGTAGCACGTCTTTTCATCATGGTTTGTAATGTCATCCATGATGCCAAAACATTTGTCATGGTGACATAAAGCATCAGCCGCGAAATCACTTTCTGCAATGAACGTTAGGAATGCGACATCGATGTCGATGTTTTCAAAACTTCGGTGTTTTGTGATCGATGTTTTTTACTTTTCCGATGTTTTGTTTCTGAATGAAAAATTTCCATGATCACAATACTGTAAAAGTTAAAAATAACACATATCAGCACTTTTTCATGTGTTGGAACCAAAGGAATGCTGTTTGCGTTACATTTATCGACCAAACTCTCTAGACCGAGATGACCTCAGTGCCCTTGTATTTCCTTTCTTCATATTCATTTCGCACATTGAGATACGGTCAACAAGTACACTGTGGGCGTAAAGTCTGTCCCTTCTTCTTGTACCCTTATTCGGCGAATTGTCAAATTAAATTTTAATGCACACGAATTTAATGTTAGAGGTTACTAAGTTTAATATTAGAGTTTACTAATCCAGTCTAAAAACATCGATTTGGTTGATGTATTTTTAACATTGATGTTTGCAAACATCAATGTTTTGTTATTGATGTCGCATCACCATTAAATACATAAGATAAGCATATCGTTCGCAAACAAAATTAATGCATTACGGGACGCTACCAATGAAAAGGAAAAGAAAGAAAGAAAGAAAGAAAGAGAATCCCATGTATGTATGGTTTGACAATAGTGCTGGTTACATGGTTAAAGTGCTGCACCTTATTTAATCTATCTCAGGGGCCTCAACATCAAAATATCATCAAATTAGCATGATACTACTTGGAGATTATAACCTTAAAGGCAAAACAAAATTAATTAAAATCATGGTTCATTTACAAAAGTTGTAACCGAACAAGCATTAAAAAAATATACAGGATGAATTGAACAACTTCATTTCAAAATTGGTTTAATAATGGTAAAAATAATTTAAGAAGATGACAAGTTATGGGGGTACGATCATTGTTGGTAGAAAAAAACAAACAAACAATTCAATGATTCAATAATCTACGAGTCCATCATTGAATAAGACTAAAAGTGTCCAAAAATAAATATCACTATCGCAAAAGTAAATTTCAGAAGATGATTAAAAATTTTCATTTGCATACGGAACGTATTCATCAGGCATGCATTCCATGTGGAAGTTACATTTACACAGACGAATAACATGATAATGTCATAAAAATTAAATTTAAATGAAGTCGTAGAACCAATTTCAAAATATAAAAACGCACTTGAAACGCATTTAAAAAATTGAGATATTATTGTTGAAGTGATTCCAATACTTTTGCTCCCCATACTATAGGTATAGGAAGAAAAAGTAAAAATAGTTCCTAACATATTTAATCTTTGAATTCATCAAGGACTTTTCATTGTCAATTATGAATACATGAATTTACACAGAATTTTTGTTTCTATCAAAAAATCAAAACAATAATTCTCTTGTGGTCATGATTAACTAGATCATTAATTTTTAATTCTGAATTACAAGTAAAAAATGTAAATAATACACAGTTGAAATGATGGTTCGTTACTGATGCAAAAGAAATCACATTACATGATCTCATCAATATTAAATAAAAAGGGGAGAACTAGTGAGATGGGGGGGGGGAAAAAAAAAAAAAAAAAAAAAAAGTGTAATAAGACCCCAGAATATTCAGAGAAATCATTACATGGTTTTGTTATGGTTAAAAATGTTTGCTCTTGATGAATAAGTATTTCTTTTCTAACCTTTCTGAAAGACTGAATCAATTTTCAATGACACACAAAGAATCTCCGTGAATGGTACTGTACTTCCCAAAAAATCTAATCTGGAAGTCTGTGTCACTTATCTGGTCACCAGAGACTGTTACAATGATATATGGTATTTTTTTGCTTCCTTCTAAAGCTATTACCACTCACACAGAGAAGATGATGATTGTTGCTCTGGTATCAATTGTGGTGGATGGGCTCGAGGCATTTCTTCCAACAAAACAGAAGGTTTTGAAAGATATGGCTGGAGTTGCACAGCTGGGCTTAACCTTGGTGGCTGACTTGCTGAGAAATGTTCAGGCAAAAGTTTGGGAGGCTGATTACTTGGGCTAGGATCAGCCTCAAATAAGAAATTACGTGCTGGTTCTAGGCAGGGGGCAGTATGATCCCATACCATTTTCATTTCTCCAATATCTGAAAGAAGTGCTTTATTATTTAACTGGAACTATGTGTGTTCTATAGGCAAATGTAGACCAATGAATCAATTCATTTCTAAAAAATCAATAATGCAAATGAATTTGCAAAAGAATGAAAGGAGAATTCAAAACCACATTTTTTCCCAAATCATATTTCCTTGTGCATAAAAAGCACATGAATGGTAGTTGCAATGGCAAAGTAAACAAAACAAAGTTGAGAAGTGAAGAAAGCACTAGGGAGCTATTAAGCAGAATGATGGAGATAACACAAAGTAGCAGGAGAAAAAAAGCACAGGACAAAAAAGCAAAGATGAGGATCAATTTGGGAGATGAAAGGAAAATATATTAGTAAAAATTTATGTTTATAAAAGTTAGCTGGAATATTCAAAGAACCAATTTCATTCTATCCAGAGACAACAAAGTAATTGACGTTCTAAAAATACTTATTTCTCTGGTTCATGAAGCAGTTCCATGCTTGATAGAATGTGTATTGAATTGATTGAGGTTCCTATAAAAATATTATAATCTGAAAAAACTTTTTTTTTTTATATTTATTATTAGGAAAAATAAATTCAAACCCAAGGCAGCTGGTCCATAAGTGTTGTGGTACTGTAGCACACTAGCCAGCCTCTTTAATTAATATAAGAAATTTCAAAATATTGGATTTTCTGTTTAATTTGCTGTTCAAAACGTAGTAAATAAAGAACAATTGTATAGATCGCATTTGATTTTGCTTAACATGTGCCTATGCCAGACATAAGATGTATTGAACAAGAAAGCATGATTGTTATGTAGAGCACATGAAGTCACGTGTGCATGTGCTCAAATGCTGGCCACTACAGTCTTGAAGAGCTGCAAGATTTACAGCATTAAGCAGTGCTCTAGGAAGTGTCACAGTTCTGCCATCTATTGAGAAGTTTTGTACTACAAAATGTCGTAACTGTCACTAGATGAAACTGATAAGCACCATAATAATATGGCAGCAAAATCAGACTGGATTGTGTAAAACAATTTTAAAATTTATGTTTTTCCGATTGCCAAAATAAATTGCCAAATAACCCTGAATTATCAACAACAAAAAAGGGGGGGGGAGGGCTTCTTACATGAAACAATTAATTTTTATAAGTAAAACTTTACATGTAGTTATTATCAATTTCATAAGGATGTATTTTTAAATAGAAATAATTATTCAAACAGATTTGTATATATTTTGGGTTTTTCATTTTAAAGAGTTTCTAAAATAACTTCTGGAAAATACTTTAATAACTATAATACAGTGTATATTATAGTTATTAAGGTATTTTCAAGAAGTAATTTTAGAAACTCTAAAATGAAAAACCAAAAATATGTACATATCTGTTTGAATAATTATTTCTAGGACAAGGAAGTAGAATTTCTTTTTGGATCACATGCTGGAAAAGCTAGCTATACCACATCTGACAGCACACATTTCAGCTCTAACCACCCTTGATTCAAACAATTAAATTTACAGATTTCATACAGCTGGTTATAACACAAGAAAACAGAGCATTAAGTATGAATTATACCACCATTGGATTGCAACTTAAGAACAATAGGGGGAAAATAGAAATGGTTGCTGAAACATATTCAAATTAAATATTCCATTATGAAGGTATCTGTAACTGATAATTTTTATTGTAGTTCACAATCCATGTGAAGTATTACAAAACTCTGTTTAAAATATATGTCAGTAACTCCTAATTCTAGAGTCTAATTTAAACACTACATCTGTGTTGTGTATGTTTAATTGAAGGAATATGTTATATATAACATTTTTAAAATAATATATTTATATGTTAAAATATTAATATGAATTAATTAAATATAGATCTGGTTAATAAATTACGTTCCCAGAAAGAAGTGTTCAAAAGGAATAAAATCTGATTGATTGCTTTCATTTAATGCAATGAAAACTCCCAAAGGACACTTCTTTATGATGAACAATTTTCTATGGGAATACTTCTGTTTTGTCTGAACCTCTACATAGACTCCCTTTTAGACTCAAGCATGAGTGTTTAAAGAAGGTTCACTATAATTCAAATATCCAAGTTCATGTTAATGTTCTTCAATAGGCAATGTTGTTCTCAGCCAATCTTAGAAAATATAGTTCACCAAGCATCCATTTGATAGTATTGAAGTACATAAACTCACTAAAAGGATGTTCTGCAATTTAGAAAATGCGCTGAAAACCAATACAATTTGCATTTAGCACAATTCGAAATTTTATAAATCATAGAAAACTGTCTACACTGGCAGCACTTTTCAAATAAATTGAAACAGTATGTGCCGCAATCACTAAGAACACTTTCACAAATATTGCTCAAACAGTAGTTCAACTCCTCCGCACTGTCTCAACAGTGATTGTGGGCATTAGGAGCACCTGTACCTGCAAAAGTCTAAGATGATTAGTGTTCATTTTCTGTTTGTGTGAATTCAGCTTTGTTCTATTAAGGCAGTTTTTTTTATTTTCTAGAAGTGTGTATATGTTTTTATGGCACCCTCTGTATTTTTATAATCATTTACATATTCATTTTGTTGACAATTTTTCATGTACACACTTTTTGGAAGTAATAATAAGATATTGCTCACTGCTTAGCCAGCTAATCTTCATGTCATAATTTCTATATTATAGGAATTCTTGCAGAAATTGTCTTATGGTTTTTGAATTATTAGAACCATGAAATATGAAATTTTACATGTGCGTGGGCATACGCGCAAGCACACACACGTCAATTTTTAGATGGTATGGAACTCGCACTACCAAATAGAAATTATTGATTTCTCAAATAAAAAATAAATGTTATGTATTAATACAAGTCAATAAGCAATGATTCAAGTGTATATGAAGTTCATTAACTGCCAGATTTTCCTAAGTTGAGATATCGACAACACCTTGGAGGATTTTGTTCACCCATTTCTTCCCAAACAGTGAAATAATTAATTAATTTAATAAATTTTAGTTAAATATTGATAATAAAGTCCCCAAAGATAGCAAAATGAGTTTGCTCAAAATATTCTGATTTTTGGTTGAAGCTGATGGTACATTGCATGTACACAATGTTAGGAGGTTTCTGGAAAGGAAATGTACTGACCGCCGCTTTTTAAAGAAGTGTCAGTATTTTGTCAATTAATGTCTACTAATTTTACTGGTATGTAAACAGAATTCAAATTTATGCATGAAGTTTGAAAAATCAAATGCAATTTAAATGTATTTGACATTTTTTTTACATTCTACAATTGTCCAATTCTTACGAACATTACGTTGTCTACATGCATTCTTATCAGCACTAACTTATATAAACAACATGGACCTTATGTCTTTCATTCTCTTCTTACTATAATGTGCTTAACTTCAATGCGAGTATCAGATGGCAAATTGCAATTTGGGTTTCCAGAAACCAGTTTTTTTATTAGTAGACCTCTTTGCTTCTAAGAAAAGAGAGAACTAGTTTGGACTCGAAATCAACACAATTTAGAGTATTTTCTGTTGTTAAAATGTAAATATTCATTTCTTAGTAGGGTCTCTAACAAATAAAAATCTCATTATGCTTCTCTATCATGAAATCATACACAACTGTTGTTTTGAAATAAATTTTTGGGTTCGAAGCAAACAGTCTGAAGCTCTTTTCTCTCAGTTGTCACAATTCTATTTGCACAGAAATCGTTTCTGATAAATTACAAAAAAAGTGTGATCCATATAGAAGTTTGTCAAGAAACAGCAAGTGGTATTCATGTTTTGTTTAACAATTTTTGTGAAATTGCAAATTACTTCATATAAGATCAAACATTCATGCGTTCTTTGATATTCTGCCATAAACATAAAATGGTTTCAAAAATAATTTTTCCCCTGTTAATACACATCACATCATGAAATTAAACCAGTCATGTCTCACTTGTTTTAGCTACGTGTCACCCCAAGTATGAAACACTCTGCTCATAAGTAATGATAAATTTTGGCTAAACATTCTGATTGCAAATTTCTTTTGTTCATTCATCAAAGAACAGTCTCAATTTTGCAAATTTCTATTCTTTACCTAAGATGTTATTGACTGAAACCAGTTGGTATCATTTTATTTCTTCAAACTTGTTTCAAAACCTTTTTTCTTTCACAATTGCTATCTTCAAAACACTGCACAAACTGTTCCATATAGGGAGGCACAATTATGCCATGCCTTGTTTAAGTGCCACGAAAACTAGAGGCCTTTGGCATATTTGTCAATGAAACAATCCAAAGAGAGCATATTCTACCTAATGTTACAACTCTTTCAAAGTAGTAACCTCATATGAACTGTATGTCATGAAAAAATAATGGGATCTGGTCATTCCCCAATCTGACGAGAAACTCCCAACATGTTAATGCAACACAAAATTTATTTGTCTATAAAGATTGTTCTGAAAATCACATTCTACTCAAACACTAACACTTTTATTTGTACATATTATATTTTGTAGTGTGATACAAAAATTCACATTGATCACAAATTTCAAGATCAAAAGACAGATATTGTAGAGGCATCAAAATAGAGCACGCGTCTTCATGGGGAAAAAATTAAAAATGTGTATTCATGGGATATATATTTATTGAATAAAAATAGTTTTAAAGCTATTAAGGATTGTATTTACTGTACAAAAAATTACAAATGCTTTTAATGAATGGTGTAAGTAAAATAAAATAGTAAACATTGCATCGCATTTATGCACCGTTTGGAAGAAACCAGTGGGAAAAAATGAGAAGTTTAGGTCCGAAGTAAATACTTCAAAAGAGAAAGGATTAATTCAAGAATTGTTATATAATGAATAACACAGATTAATTATATGAGAATTCAAGCTACAATATGAAATAAAAAATTGAAAAACCAATCACAGAAGAAAGACAAGCAAATGCTAAATTATCATCCCAAAAGATTATAATTTTCTTGAAATTATTGAAATTAGAGAATAGTCAAACATCCCCAAATATATCAAATGATTTATTGC